TGTTTTTCAACCAATTATTCTAGTCAAAATAAACTCTTGATATTTTATCAAGATGAAAAATACTTTTTAAAATTACACAGAAATCGTGTTTGCAGCGATCTTCGCATCCACTCAAAATGCTTATCAGGATGCGTCACGCAAAATTTCGATGAAACGAAGCACTGCGTGACAATCAAACGCCTAATCCGTCTTAGCGAAGCTGAACTCCCGAGTCTTCAACACATCATTGGAAATGCCTGCGGAAATGTCACCAACACTTTTAGGACGAACTCAGATACTGAACATTTCCAACACCACTATATGTTGTTTTACACAAGATTAAATAAAATAGATAAATCATGATGACATTTTGCTCGAAACATCTTAATTCTCAGCTTCTAATCGTTATCCAAATATCTTGTTAAACAGCCGAGACTGAACTGAACTGCTGGACGCAATTAAACTAAACTGAGTTATAATATTATAATATCATCAATTGTAATAACACCCTGAAACGGAACTACAAAAAACCCCTAAGGAGAAGTGTGCACCAGAAAATGCATTAACTTTATTTCCATTAAGAGAAACTTTTAGAAGTGAAATTACGACCCTAACCCTCGAAATGTGCTCTGGTGGCCGCCACTGTTCGGAGTTAGGAACAGTTGAGGATTATTTTTGATGTGATAATGTGTCAATCTTTGAGAATCTTAAACTGTAACAAGGAGTTAATTTCTATAGATACTTTTAGCAATGGAGATGAAAATCATATAGATTCTGGAACATACCTCTCCTCTAACTGGGTAGGGGTAGAGTACTTTCTGTAATGTTTGAATTGTTACTTGCCTCCCGACGGGGTTAATTGTTGATTTTGGTAGTCGTTTCCCCCAAATGCAGTCCGCAGAACTGTGATCTTCGATTTTTTATAATTGATAACTTTGTACAAAAAAGAGCGTGCTACTTAATTTGTATTTGACTGCCTTATGGCACTGCATGCTTTCCATTTAAAGATCATTTTCAACGACTACATCATAACGCTTTAAACCTGAAAAACGATGGGAAATCAGTAAAACTACCAAGGGTCAGACTGGATTTTGCGCGCCGTAACTTTTATTTTTTAGGTGCCTCAATTTTTAATTCATTACCTCTAAGGTGCCTCAATTTTTAATTCATTACCTCTAAGGTTAAGAAACATTATTCTTGAGTTTTATGTAGGAAAGCCTTAGACGATTATTACAGTGGGACCTCGAATTAACGAATACGAAGTGCCAAGGGACTGGGGAAATTGGTTCGTTCAATCAAGGGTTCGTTATATCGAGGTTCTGTGGCATATATTTTATTGTAACTTTCAGCCGGGCTGAAACTGAAATATCGTTCGTTATACCCAGGACTTCGTTATATAGAGGTTCGTTAAATCGAGGTTCCACGGTACTTGCAATTTTATTGTTTTTTCTTTTTTTATCGGTATTTTTGCCTTAATATATATTTTATTCTATGTTTAATTTTACATATCTTAATAATTCTTATTTGTAGCTTTAATTCTTAGTCAGCAGGACCCCATTGATAACAGTACTTTGTACTGAAGGGTTATCCTTGGTAAAAATCATCATTATTATCATTATCTAGAGAGAAGCTTCCCTTTATAAGAAATACTCAAACGAACAAACTTCTTTATATTCTGTAACCTGGCGTTGTATACAATGCCGAGGCTACTCTGTGGCCATAATGCTGCATTGCCGAGATAAAAATATAGTGAATTAATGCAAACCTTGACCCTTTATGTGTTCACATCAAAATACATATTCTCCCTACTGTTCTCTATGTATTTCCTATTTGTTTAACTATCAAAGACTTCATTGGGTGCGAATCATTTCCAATACCTTATGACCTTCATGTCTACTTCAGCGGTGATACTGCAAGGGGAAATTAGATGCCAGTAGCTCTCCGGGTGTAAATGGTTAAGATAAAAGTAATTAAAAAAACTCAGTTACTGAACGTAACCAAACTATTAATAACTAAATCACGCAATGCACATGAATCCTTGAGTACAATATATCAAACGCATTTACTTAGTACCCAGATCCTACCGCGTAACTGAAATTTGGGGGTGGAAGGTCTGGGTACAAGACTGCCAAAAATTTACGCCTCGCCGTTGAGATAACTCATGGCGTTTGACACTGAGTTGTTGATTTTGTTTATGAGGTCTTCCACTTCGTCAGCGCTGAAGATAACTTCCAAGTTTGACATCACTGTTCCAAGCTATCAGAAGGAGAAAAAGCGATAGCGAGTTAAAAGTGATTTCTTGTCCGTAAAAACTTTCTCAACACCTAGATAGATGATCTACAAAGTTCCTAAGCTGCAGAGTGCCATCTATCAAACAATTAGCATCTGGTGACCCTGTTTCTATTAGTTACACTTATCAGACGGACCACGATTCAAGTATCAAGTATCAAGTGACGAATAGCCCATTGTAGGCATTCACTTGTAATCCTCTCGAAAACTCTGCTGTTTTCATTCACCCACCCATTTGTTCTTCCCCGCTGGCTAATGACCTAACATAGGTCAAGTGGAGAAAATTTGATTCCCTAAGATATTGGTTGGCGTTTAGTCTATTTGTACTATATCCCAAGAGGTTGTCAGACGACGAGGTAGCTGTTTGTAACGGGGGAGGGGGGAGGGGCGAGGGGGAAGGGAAGGAAGGATGATGTTGAGGCGTGTCCCATCGGTTAGCATGAATGGCAATTCAGTTCTTTCGATAGAATAACCAAAATCAGATAAAGGAGGAAGAGGAAGAGGAACTGTTGAACTAACTGACCTCTTTAGGAGCCATCAAATATTTGCTCTGATGTAAAGGCTGGTGTAATCCAGAGCCTTTTCTCAGATAACGAGAGTGAACTGGACAGCAATTCAATATGTACAATGCCGCTGCTATGACTTCACCAGGCCAAAAACTATGAGAGGTTTTAGTGACATCATTGCTCGTCATTTGATCAGCTGTACTCTCCACCCATACTGAACCCCCTGAGAAAAGAATTGGACATGAGTTGGATTAAATTCAAATATACTTTTCAAAGCAATTATACACGTGCGCGTTCTTCTAAAAAATCAGAGCGCGACCTTATAAAGAGGCGTTTCTTATTTTAACTCGTTCAGTTTGGAAAGTAATTGTTGCGTACACTGCTAAGGTATTACTACTAATATAAACATGTTGTGGAATGACATAACCGTGCTCTTCAGATGTGCCATGAAACTCCACTCGTTTTTCACATCCGAGGGAGGGCACCTATACCCTAGCCTCCCCTCCCCATAAGCTAGTATAGTCATTGAGAACACCTATACCCTAGCCTCCCCTCCCCATAAGCTAGTATGGCTATTGAGAACACCTACACCCTAGCCTCCCCTCCCCATAAGCTAGTATGGCTATTGAGAACACCCATATCTTACCCTCCCTCCCCCCCCCCCATACGAGCATGGCTAAGACTTTGAAATGAGGTTAGAGAACTGTACTGCGCCGGTTTCATACCTTCCTGATTGAAACCAATCAGCGCAGTAAACTTGCGAGGAAGAACATCATCCAATGTGGAAGCTTCCATGGTTGATAGCACATGACGCGAAATTTGCAATAAATCATCCTTCGAGCTTCCATTTCTTGCTTCAATGTTATTCACGGCAATTGACTTCTTCAGTAGTTGTAACTCGACGCAGCGGTCGATAAAATTTCTCCACTCCGCCTGCTTTTCTTCTGGGACGAGCAATATGACTTCTTTAGACTCGCTTGACAAAAGAGACTTAATAGTTGACAGCACACTGAGACCTACTCTGGTAGAAGTCTCATTAAGCGTAACTATGGTAACAGAGCATGCGTGGCTGAGCCTGAGAGCTGCTTTAGCAAGAGCGTCAGGCATTTCATCTGTTGGTGTTACTACCTCCGGTTTTCTCTGTGTCTTCAGCTGTCGAATCAGTTCCAATGCTTTGTCAGAAATCAACGAACAAAACACTGGCTTTTCAGATATAAACACCGCTTTAGTTTGCATAGATTCGAGCCACTTAGGTACGTCCATCTTGTTAAATTCTTCGTTGTTTAGATCAGTTATGAAGTTGGAGGCTATGTCACTTTGGCTGACGCTTATTGCCAAGGGTAATCCTATAAATATTATAAACAACAACAACAATTGGATAGTGCTAGCTTTTTGGTATTGAAATAATTTAAAAAGAGCAATGATTCAGATGGTCGACGATGAAGGAAATTCTTCAGCCACTTACTTGCGTTCATTAACGCTAGCGCGGCCGTGACTCCACAAGCCCAGAACATGCAGACATCTCCCTCTTTTATGAAGGGTTTGTCGTCGAAATCTGGATTTTGTAAATCCCCTACTCCGATCCAGGAAGGATGACCAATGTGTACTGGGGCTCCGTGCACTTTGTCCATAGTAGCAGTCACCTGGACAGCCCTTTCTACTAAGTTCCGGGGCATTGGACGCAGTGACATACCAACGGTAGCTGAGAAAGGACCCGATTTTACTGTTAAGACCCTTGTTTGGTAAACCGGTGCTTTTCTTCCGCTTTCTAGTTGTCGAACCGGAAGGCCAGCGTTCTGTATCGCGAGCTCGAACGAGCTACTGCAGCCGACGTAAAAGGTAACGAAGTCATCAAAGGGTATATCTACTAGGTCTGTTACGGTTTTGGTGCAGACCCCATTCTCGTATATCCCATATGCGGACTGATCTGTACTGTAAAAACAAAATGGAGAGACGTTTTAGTCGACTTCATGCCGGGAAATCGATAGTAGTTCTAGCTGCTGATTTTGTTTGTCCAAAGAATTCAGAAAATGGGTAACGGTTTAGTCAAACTAGTACAATGATACTGTGCCTAACAGTTAGACATTGATATAGAAATACATCCCTCTTATTATGTACTTTATCTTTGCATTCATTTCTTCCTCCATTCCCAGGGCTCAAGTTGTTCCTCATTACTACCCTCCCCCCCCTCCCCCCACTTCCCGATCCATCCTTTCAGGCGTGCCAGCCATGCACGATCATCATCCTTTGAGCCCTAAGTGATATGATATGATTAAGGAAAGACCAAGGGGGTTGGGAGGAGTATGTTTATGTGGTCGCGAAATGAAGTTTGAAACTTAAAAGAACCCTAATTTTAGTCAAGTGGTCAGCAATTTCATAGCTGATAATGAGGCGCTAAGAGAAGAAGCCACCGACAAAGATGACACCGACCCATTTAGGAGCTAACTCACTTCGTGGTTACCATCTTGGGCGGAATAAAGAGCCATTTCGATCCGCTCTCCTTCCCAAAAAATAAGGGCAGTAAGTAATATTTTGTGTCTTGGTCTACTTTCAAATTGATATTCTTGGTAAAGAGGCTCGGGTCTCATTTTAAGTTCCCTTTTTTAAATCATTCTCAATCGTGAAGTTTGATATAGAGCGATCTTCATCACATATTTCGCTTTTTTTTTATAAACAAACTACTTGGTTTTTCCTCTTTTATTACCGAATGTCCAGATCAGCAGCTAAGGGTGGGGCTGACACTTCCCCTGGTTTTGACCGGTAAACCAAGGGGAGAGCAGCATGGTTCATTTTGCAGAATTCATAAAACTGATCTGCTGCAGAGGAAGGAATGATATGAACACTAGCTTGCGTAAAGCCAGCTGACATGCCGTTGGTCTGTGCTCGCGGGAAAAAATTCTGTCGAAACTGACTTCTGGCCTGAGCTCCTGTCCAGTTTGCACGGTCCTTAAATGACAGCATATTGGGGTCTGACTGAAACAGAGTAAGACAATTGTAAATCTATTAACCTCTTTGGGTAACTGAATTACTTTGGTTTTGCTTCCCTTTATGTGATTGGTTAAAAAAACTTGCTCCACTTTTTCGACCAATCAGATTCACAACTTGGTCACCCGCGTTTTCCCGCGCTTTCATGAGGCGGTTTCCTTGGTTTCTATACTTAGCTTTGTTCTGATTGGCTTTGGTTTACAAGGAAATAGAACTTAGAGAACCATTCACAGATGTGGGCTGTGCTTTAGAGGGGTCGATTGCGAGAGTAAGCGCCATCTGAACACGGCTGAAAATAGACGTTTCACTCCAAAAAGTGAGATGAATTGCCTTTTCTTAATGGAGGCCTTTAAGGCGAAATTTTGACATGCGAAATGTCTTCATTTGCCGACTACATTTACGTATTATATTGCGTCATGCAGCAAGAAAAAGGGTATTCAACTAGAAAAGTCATCTACAAGCTTATATTTCAAAAGGATACGAGAGATTGGCTCAACTAATAAAATAAATGCTTTATTCACGAAATGCAAATTAGAATAATCAAAACAGAAATATTTGATTATCGAAAATAAATCTTAAAAAAAAACACTGTTTATCTAAAAACGAATGCTTTGAATTTAGAACTATTACCAATATCGACAATTATTGAGACAGAAAGCCATTAGAGTTGTTTATTGCTTTTAAGTGGCATGACCCGGCCAGTCATACATCGCGCTTCAGGCAAGAAACCTCATTTCTTGAGTCCAATTCTTATATTTGCTTTAAAAGTACCGACAACATTTAAAGTTGTCGACAACATTTACATATTCTATTGCGTCCTACAGCAAGAAAATGGGTATTCAACTAGAAAAGTTCACTTACAAACTTATATTTAAGAAGGATAAGAGAGATTGGCACATCTAATAAATGCTTTATTCAGGAAATGCAAATTAGAGTAATCAAAACAGAAATACTTGATTATCGAAAATGAATCTTAAAAGAAAAACTGTTTATCTAAAAACGAATGCTTTGAATTTAGATCTATAAGCAATATCGACAATTATTATGACAGAAAGTCATTAGAGTTGTCTACTGCTTTTAAGTGGCATGACCCGGCGAGTCATACATCGCGCTTCAGGCAAGAAACCTCATTTCATGAGTCCAGTTCTTATACTTGCTTTAGAAATGCGTTCATAAGAAGAGTTTCAAGACTCATTTAATAGGTTTCAGTTCTATTCCACTAAATTAGGAGCATGAAAAGTTAAGCTGTGTTAAAATGATCAGATGGCAGGTAAATTTGGTGGTTGAGAACAGCCTGGGGAGTAAAAAGCTGAAATGAAGGCTAAGATCTCTCGTCGCTCGCCGGTCTGACCCATATTTATAGCCTAGTTACGGAATTCTTAGGTCTGGTCGACCGTGGTGGTAGCCTCATCGTGTTGCCTTTACTTGCAGAACTGGAATTGTCTTGCTATAATGAAGCCCCGTTTTTTTTTTTTTTTTCTGGCTCGAGTATCGTGAGGCTTTTGAGGGATTGGGTTAAAACTACAACTAAAATACTAAATTTTTGTGAAATGCCTAAAGCCAAGAAAAATTGCCTCTGTCTCCATCGTGTGTGGTTTCGACAAATTTTAGTATAGACTTAATTCAATTAATTAGGAATATACGTAGAAAAAAAACAACAACAACATAATAGAGGGCTGGGGTGGGTAGTGGCGTACTTGTAGGTGGTTTGGTTTCAATTTTAAGGCGTTCTACGTTTTTTTGTATGCGTATCGGCGGGCAGGCATTGCTGCAACGAGAAAGACTTGCAAATGAAAATCACTCTCTTAATATAGATTCTTCTCATTCCGAATAGCCTAGAGGTGGTGAACGAGATGACCTCTTTGGAAAAGCAAGCTAGCCACAACAATTTTTGAAAAATTTCACTCATCTGGTTAAAAAGTGAAGGTCAAGTTTTTCGAACCCTTCTTTGGTTAAATGAAAAATAAAAGAAAGGCTCACATGACAATCTGTAAAAAATATATTGCATGTCTTGGTGGATTTTATTTTCCGATAATAAATCACAGATAACGTCAAAATGTGCCAAGAACACGTAAAAGTTATGCACGAGGCGCAGCCAAGTGTGTCACCGCTGTCCCATTCCATCCTTTGAAATCTTCTGCAATTTACTCAACAAACGCGCCGCAACCTTGAATATGTATTACATAATAACAGAAAAGCTGATTTAATATGTCTGTCCTCTGATAGATTGTAAGTAATGAAAATGAAAATAAGTAATGAAAATGCGTGTATAATTCATCTTATCAGACGAAGACCTTCTATGAACACACTTACAAAGGGGGCTGCAGCAAGCAAGTAAGAATACTTGAGTCTGACAAGTATCGATATTAGTGGAGGATTGCGCTACATTTGACGAGGTCTATGTCATGGATGTTTTTGAGTTGGAACTGGATATCGCATTGCTTTTTCACAGAGGTTTCACTCAGGAAAGCCAGATAGAATGCTACCTTCTGAAGGACGTCTTCACTGCGAAATTATTGGTATGCGAGATGTCTGCTGCCGACATCATTTACATACTACTGTGTCAGTAACAGAAAGGGTATT